TAATAGATTAAATTCATACTTCGATGTTCCACTGTAAATATATACAACCCATTATATGACCCCAATGAATTATGGTGTAAAATCCAAAACAATTTAATAAAAGCATTGTCGAGATATTTATAATAAAAATTAAACCTAATGTTGTATAAATGACATATGTATATAATTAATTCTATGATATCCCAAAAGATGGCTACACGGATGAAAATACACTAAACACTAGAGGGTGTTTAGAGGGAATACAGTAAACAAATTAGCAACTTTTGTTCTTTTTAACAAAGGTTCAAAAGTAAACCCCAATACATATTGCGATGACAAATATATGTTGCACGTGACAATTAAATCTACAAGTATACAAATACCCAAGTGTTTATAATGAATTGTTCTCGAGATAACAAAATGGTGAAAATGTATGATATTCATTGAATATCATCCCGATATAATGAGTATGTCTAAATTATAGGTAGTTCTGTAGAGTTTGTTGCCAATACAAAGAGATAAGCAAACCCCAATCAAGAAGTAAATTGGTTCCAAAAAACAACCACAAGATAACTACACTACTCAGTTGTATTATGAAAGCCTCACCTGACCAAACAAGACTGTAGCTTGCTTCCAGTCAATGTCGTGAAGCAGTCTTAACATATCATCCAGAAACAAAGCAATAAATGAAACAAAATGACAATCTTAAGATATACTCCTTACAGGGATTGTCTACAAAATCTAATAACAAAGATTGCATATATTTTCCTAAACAACAAGAATGATTATAAGTTTTCCATTTAATGTTTATAGATTCAATGCTATTTCTGAGGAGAAAGTTTACATCAATTATGTAATGACTGGAATATTAACACAAGACAGGATTTAAACAAAAAATTATGAGTTTGATTGCTACTCCAAGACAGCATACTTTTTTGAAGTTTGAATATTTGCTCAACATTACTTCCAATAAAAAAATATATTTATTATTTTACAATATTATCCAGCCAAAGCAATTGTTCAGAAATAATGCTTGATGCAAAGGCTATGGCATTCTCAATGTCTTTTTTTATATAAAACTCTAACTACTGTATGAGCTTGCTTATCTGGATTCCGCTAAACCGGATATTTGGGTTATCCGGCCAAAAGCGCATCCAGATAATTTTTTGGCAAAACTTCGTAATGTGCCCAGATACGGCAGAGGGGCATAAAGTTTACATCAAGTCCGGATAATTTTCTGGCAAAACTTCTCCATATTCAGACCAAAATCCAGATAACTGGAGGTAACTTTTAACAGGTAACTTTTCAAGAATTACACATTTGAAGATCTACATTATCAAACAAAAACACAAACTGAAACAGGTTAAGCTTTAGTTTCTAGTTTAAATTATATTTTTGATTTATAGTGTGTTTTGAAGTTCAAATTATGTTGCTTGGAGTACAAAAAATTGTAAATATGGTAATTTTTGGACTACCTTGATAAGAATTCTGCTTATACGGATGTTTGGCTTATCTGGATGGGGGTCCTTCCCCAACCCGTTCTCGCAAATTGAATAAGTCAATATTGACTTATTAAATATGTGCATAGGTGACATACTTAACATAATAGATACCCTTAAAAAGATTCAAAGAAAACACCGACCTTACCTAACCTTATTAGTATCTTAAGATAAGCATCTTATTGCTTCGTAATTACAATTATTACCTAACCTATAATAGGTATAGGTTAAGTAATAATTGTAATTACGAAGCAATAAGATACTCATCTTAACACTTTCGCGCTCTCGGCGCTCAAAAAAAAACAATACCCAAGATGCTTTCGGCACTTCGCGCGCCTACGCGGTAAGACCGAAAAAGTGTACACTCTTTTGACTGTCCTGACAATAATTGAAGGCGCACGTATTTAAATTTGGTATCACTGTGTTCGCAATGAAATTGTCTATAAGAGCATACCTATAAAATGCCGCCCAAGCATAAGGAGTATCAACACCAAATAAAAAACTATGCAGATCACTCGCCGAGAGCGCCAAACAGCAACAAAATGTTTCCACTCTCTTAATGGTTGCGAAGCCTACAGTTGTCCTACATCGCTAATTTTGGTATCATTGGAATCACAATAAAATTCTCTACACGGACATATGCATATGAATGTTTAATATAGGTAATTGCCCACCTGCAAGAGTGTGTGAAGTGGAGAGTAGTTAGCCGCGAGCGCACTGGCGAAAACACAGGGGGGAAATCATGCTTGGAAAGTTTATACGTTTCCTGACCCTACTTTTCTATGTACGTATTTCTTTTTTATACCAATGTGTTCGCAATAAAATTTTCTATAAGATGAACTGTATAACATTTGTACAAAGCATGTGTAAGAGAAGCGCCAAATATAGAACCACGTCGCTCAGTATGCGTTCGCGGCAGAAACGAACGCATTGTTTTTGTTCGTTTGATGTTTGTCATGTTTATACTTGTTGAAACATTTTATAATTTGTATGACAGTGATCGCAGTAAAATTCCCTACACAGACATATACATAACACATACAAATATTTCCCACGTGTTGGATATATCAACGGCTAAAGGGAACCCACTGCCACACGCTCGCCACACCCCCAAACATACTTTGTGTATTTTTTTTTTTACTCAGAGAAGTTTATGTGATATAATATGCATTCTGGTACCAAAAAATTCGCAAATAAATTCTCTACAAAACAAAAGTATCCCCATCCATTTCGGTTAAAAAATGGAATTTATAGAAATATTTTTTCGATTGACGAGAAAAGTAGGCAGTTATGCGGAATCGTAAGAAAAACCAGTGACGAGTTATCTCTAATCGAAAGCGCGAAAGTGTTAAGATACTAACAACGTTAGGTAAGGTCGGTGTTTTCTATGAATCTTTTTCAGGGTATCTATTATGTTTAGTATATCACCTATGCACGTAATTAATAAGTCAATATTGACTTTACGAATTTGCGAGAACGGGTTGCCTTCCCATATAGTCCGGATAATCGAGCTCATACAGTATTGTTCACATTTTATTTATTACATGATACACAGTAATCTTACTACACCTCCACTGTGTTGATAATTAAGCACCTTTCTATGTCACAGCTTGTGACGAGAGCAATTTCTAGGAAAACTATATTCCTAACCAGCTCATAATGTTAAGTCATGTATCTAGTACTATCAAAGCCTTAATCAAGTAACCAGAAAATGTGCTAATTCCTAATCTAGGGCATATCTCTTGACGTCTAGTTACGAGCTTCTAACGGAATCCTTGTATATAAATTAAATAGCATGGCTAGGAAATGACACTCTTATATTTTAACAACTCTAAGAGTATTATCACACTATATTTCTCCTTCATGGTACCTCGAGGGCTTAGCCTCAATAATGAACTTAATTAAAAAGGCATCTAGAAAAATAATACAAGAGGTACATAGTAAAAAGAAGTCCAATAGGAAAGATTTGAAACCAATCAATTATTTTATATATATATATATATGTCATACCTAGTAGCCAGAATGCACTTCTCAGCCTACTATGCAAGGCCCGATTTGCCTAATAAGCCAAGTTTTCATGAATTAATTGTTTTTCGACTACCTAATCTACCTAACCTAACCTAACTTTTTCGGCTGCCTAACCTAACCTAACATATAAAGATAGGTTAGGTTAGGTTAGGTAGGGTTGGTTAGGTTCGGTCATATATCTACGTTAATTTTAACTCCAATAAAAAAAAATTGACCTCATACATAACGAAATGGGTAGCTTTATCATTTCATAAGAAAAAAATTAGAGAAAATATATTCATTCAGATTCAGGAAAATTTGGCTTATTAGGCAAATCAGGCCTTGCATAGTAGGCTGAGAAGTGCATTCTGGCTACTAGGTACGACATATATATATATATATATTATATATATATATATATATATATATATATATATATATATATATATATATATATATATATATATATATATATATATATATATGAACTACTGCAAATACAATACCTACTCACCATATATCATCATTTACTATTTATTATAAGAACACTTAAAGCACAGAGCTGTATATAATTGTCTTCTTTAACTATTTCAATTAACCATCAATTTATAGATTGAAGGTTAAATAATACAAAGATATTTAATGAAGAATTCTGTACATTGAGTTGTCTAGACAGTTGAAAATGAACTCAAAGCTCATAACACACACACATGTAAAGCCAAAGATGATTATCATACAAAACAACATGTTAATATTGCTAGTTATTTTCACACAAAGCATAATTGAAACTATATTAATATTCCTTAAGAAGCAATGCTTTTCATTAAGGAGCCTGGAATGAACTGTAAGGGGAATTGCTGGGATACTTCTTGAGCACAAAGTGAGCTGTTAGTGCATTTACTTACACAACCTTATCAAATCAATTGGCCTAAAATACAATAATATACAAGTCATACATTATAGATCTACCTTTGTTCACATTACTAAATTATTACTACAACAGCATGATGATATGATTAGCATTATTGTTTGACTACAAATTCAAGCTTTCTGCCTATATTCATGGCATTTACTTACCTTCAAATTCCAGGCCTGGAGACATGGGCCTAGCTTACTCCGAATCTTCACTAGACGTTCAGTTTGCTGTAGATTTAACCACTGGACTAAAAGAAACGCCTGAAAGATTGACTAAAATTTTCTTCATTATGACTTTTCCTTTGCTTAAAAAAAAAAAGTTATACAGTAATACAATATGCTGTTGAAACAACATCAGCATTAAGAACCTTATTGGCACACCACTCTTGTTTACACTACAAATTCAGCAAAAAAAAACTCACATCAAAATGGAGGTTACCAATGGAAACACTAAATCACTGGAATATATTACAATTGCACTCGCATATTCTTGCTAAGGATGAGCACATTAGAATTTTTGGCATGTAAATAGTACAAGGGAGGACTAAGTACTGTTCAATGTTCTTCATTAATTTAAAGGAAATGAATAAAACTAGAAAATTGTAAAAATCCTCTTATTCACAACTGAAACTGAACCATCTGAGGATATACGAGAACTGCCCAATGCTGGCATATACCCTGACCATGTGGTATGCCAAACATTGGACACACAATACAACCCCAACTACTAGCGGTACTTCATTCTACGCTCCATCTTCCGTTGTTTTTTGTCAACTACGCGCTCCTCAGGTTCATCAGGAGCTTCCTGGAAGAACCATGGGCCCAAAATGTTAGACCAAAGCATCTGTGCTCCCCTGCAGGGTGCCTGAAAAGAAAGAATTGAGAGAATAAAGGTAATGTAAGGCAAAGTAACAATAATAGAAGAGTCTTGCAAAAATTTCATATTAATGAAGCATACTGCTCATGTCTAGAATGATAAGAAGATTGATTTTATTTCACTATGATGACAGAGAAAAATATCCTCAGCTTCATATGTAAGGGCACAACTGACAAGCTGAACTCTAGAGTACAAACTCATGAAATTCATCCTTATTTTCTTATTTACAGTAGAGCTATGTACTTTAAACCAGGGATGTAGAACCAATATGCATTTATAATCACTTCAAACATAAGAATGATCACATGGGACCAGCACCATATTTTTTGCATTGGCAGGACTCAAGATACATTCAAAGTGCCTGCATTACAATTATTTAAACCCATGAAAAGGGATAATACAGTAACAAGGAAAAATCTCACTCACCAGATTAACGATTACAAATCATGTTACTCGGATATAAATGGAGGTCAACCTCACACAATGAGGTGGGCACCTCGCAAGCACACACCACACAACCAGTGTGTGTGTGTGCACACACACTGGTTGTGTGTGCACCCCCCTTTCTCAGCACCCCCCTCTCCCCACCCACACACACGACACACGTACATCCTGGAAGTCAGGACATTCAACATGGATATGTATGACCGTATGAGGGACAATGCAGTTTGGACAATAAAGAGCAGGACGATACTCCATTAAGTGCCCACGAGTTAAACGTGTATGGCCAATACGTAACCTCACCAGAGGCGTTTCCCACCACCGATTACGGCGGTAGGAGGAAGGCTATGGGGCCACGCTACCCTTAAGAGCACGCAGTTTATTACCAGTACCAGAAGACCAACGACCCTGCCAATGAGCATGGATGGAGGAATGAATAACTGGGTAAAAGTCGGAATAAGGAATACCTTTATAGGAGATTGGGACAAGGGCTGATAGCTTCCTTAGCAGCAGCATCTGCACACTCATTTAAGGACATTCAAAAGGTGACACCCCTAGGGTCAACACCTGCATCAGAGGAGCTCCAAGATATTTCACAATTACTAAGTATTATAGTACAGGTTGATGATAGCGAGTGGTGTCCCAAGGAACATAGTTGTTGTGCCTTGGAAAAATAGGTGAGATAACACAAATGTGCAAAGTGAAGTGAAAAATTGTTTGAGAAAAAGTTGCCCTAGTGTTCACAGAGCAGACAACAACATTCAAGATGGCCACCGGCAAGAAGGAAAACAAAACAGAAATAGATTTTGGGGGTTTTAATGAAGAAAACATTGATATAAGCAGTCTACACAACAAATTGGCAAAATTAGATATTATAGTGAACTACAGTGCACCACTTGGTTTCCGAACTTTAATTATCCGAAACTTCCAGTTTCCCGATTGGGGTTGGAGAGTCATGCTACACGAACCAGGTTCGGGTAGGAAGCGGTTCGCCAAGCTTTGCGCCGGCCCGTAGTGATGGGTGGGAGATGATCCAGTTTGCCTACAGACCGTGTTGGGTGCCACTACTCTAGAGTGCCTTCTACCCTGTGATTTCACAGATTCACGGCCTATTATTTTGATCTGTCACGAGGCTGGAGAGTTCATTCTGTGATTTTGTTTTACATATCTGCACAACCAAGAAACATCTGTGCACCATGATGTGCACAGATGTGCTCCAAATGCACGCATTGCGTCAGTGATTGCTGACTGGTGGGTGGATGGGGGAGCTTAGATGGAAGGCAGTATGAGAGAGAGGGGGAGAATTAGTGAGAAAGGAAGGAAGGAAGGAAGGAAGGAAGGAAGGAAGGAAGGAAGGAAGGAAGTAGTGAGGGGGGGATGGGAGAATTAGGGAGGGAGGGAAAGGCAGGCAGAGAGGCTGGCTGGCTGGCTGGCTGGCTGGCTGTCAGGCAGACAGGCAGGCTAGCAGACAGGCAGGCAGGCTGGCAGCCTGGCTGCCTGACTGCCTGCTTTTCCCTCCCTCCCTAATTCTCCCATTCTCCCTCACTACTTTCCTCCTAGCATCTCTCCCTACCTTCCCCTCCCTCCCTTTCTCACTAATTCTCCCCCGCTCCCAGTATTTCTCCTCTCTCACTAATTCTCCCCCCTCTCTGTTGGTGGAGTGGTGAGGGAGGCAGTAAGGAAGGATTTGCTGACCAGGCGATGTTTGCCAAACTTATCACCCATATTGTATTACAAATTTTAATCTTAGTTGTAAAATATTTATGCCAAAATGTTAATTTTCATATTAATATACATTATTAACCCTTAAAGTGCGCATCACGTCATATGACGTGTTGGAGTACTACGCAAGATTTAAACGACCCGCGGATACACGGGGTTCACCACACCTTCATCAGGGCTCTTGTAAACAGACGCCATTTAAAAAAAAATAGTGGGCCAAACTCCAGGATGTTAGGGGCCTCAGTATTGAGTGAGCTACCAAGCCTGACGCACACAGCATGAGCTAACAGCACTGCTGTTCAGCTTGTGACCACAGCATCACCTAAAAATGCCTTAATATACTTGTTCATGCTATTATGTAGTGATGATATTATTACAGAAGACCCCTGACTGTGATAAAACTGACCAGGGTTCTGATAATAGCAGGATTGTGGTGATATTTAGCGCTGTGCGCCATGGAGAGAGGAGTAATGCTGTGGGAGAGAGGGTGGTGGCGATGTCTTCTGACTGTGTGTGGCCACCTTTTATTGACTGTACTCACCATACCAGCTTAGTGGTTCGCTATGGTAAACACAAATGTAGATACTTATATATAACGTGTGTATAGAGGGTATAAACAGCAAGAGGAGAAGGTTGGGAGCCGCCATTTTGGTGAGAGCAGTGGCGTCGTCTGCACGACGCCACCGTGCAGACGACGGTGTTGTTTACTGGTTACCACGATGGTCTTTGGGCACCATACCAGTTTACTTGTACAAGTATGGTGAATAAAACAGGTACATATTTATATATAATGTGTGTATATAGCGTAATAACACCACAAACAGTATTGTTGGAGGAGAAATATTAGTGCGTCTGGCCTTGAGGGCGGCAGCCATCAGCTGACTGTGTGAGGTCCTACGTCTTTGTGCCTTTACTCACCATACAAGCTTAGATGTACAGTTATGGTGAACAAAACATGTAAATACTTATATATAACATCTGTATATAAAAGCAAAAACAGTATGGTGGGTGGAGAATGGTGGCAAGTCAGGTGAGGTGAGGTGAGGTGAGGGAGGGAGTGGCAGCCAGTGGCAGCCAGTCACTGCCACTGCCACTCAGCATACCAACTTAGTGGCTCGTTATGGTGAACACGAATGTAGATACTTATATATAGCGTCTGTATATGGTGAATAAAAACAAAAACAGTATTGTGGGAGGAGAATATGGGTGAGTCAGGTGACTTGAGGGAGGGAGGAAGTAGCAACCAGTGGCGGGCTGCCACTGGCACTGCCACTCAGCATGCCAACTTAGTGGTTCGTTATGGTGAACACGAATGTAGATACTTATATATAACGTCTGTATATAGTGAATAAAAGCAAAAACAATATTGTGGGAGGAGAATGTGGGTGAGTCAGATGACTTGAGGGAGTGCGTGAGTGGCTGGCTGGTACACGGCGGTCACTCCTCGTTACTTTTTGACTCATAATAGCTATTTAGTGGTTCGTTATAGTGAACAAAACATGCAGATACTTATATATAACCTGTGTATATAGTGTAATAACCGACAAAGTATTTGTTCACTGATTGATGAACATAATTGAATCAACAATATGCACACCATATTTTTGAGTACAGCGATGATTCACTCATTTTATTATATATCAAACTACACACTATTGAATAATATTACAGCAAAAAAACTATGAAAAATCAGAGACATTGAAATAATTAGGTAATTATCTCTTTTTGGCAACTGCGGCCTGACAGCTGACGATCAACAGACCGCCTAGGACGCACACAGAGTCAGCGCCTGTTTTTTGCCAACTTCCCCACCCTATAGCAGGCAATATATGCCACTTACTATTTTTTTATTATTTTTCCAGTGATCAGTGAACACAAATTAACAGGTTAGGAAGAAAAAATATTTTTTTTTTCAAAATTACATGCACCTGTGGGGAACAAAGGATATTATACCCCTAGCATGTTAAGGATTAATCATTAACATGTTATATGATTTCCTATTTAATAATTAAACAAATATAGTTTTATTTATGAATTATGCACAGTAGGCATCTGTGAGCAGGCGCTGACAGACATGTCCGCCTCTACACAGCCTTCACCCCGTTAGTAGTTCTCGACTTCATTAGTAGTTCCCGAATCCGTTAGTATTTCCCGACTCCGTTAGTAGCTCCCCCTCCTCCATAGCCTGCTGTTCTCATTTTATGAGGAAGGCAGTGAGGGAGGGATGGGAGGCATTGAGGGGGAGAGGCAGAGGTAGTGAGGGGAAGAGACAGTGAGGGGGGAAAGAGGCAGTGAGGGGAGGAGAGGCAGTGAGGGGAGGAGAGGCAGTGAGGGGGGGAGAGGCAGTGAGAGGGGGAGAGGCAGTGAGGGGGGAGAGGCAGTGAGGGGGAGATGCAGTGAGGGATGGGAGGCATTGAGGGGGAGAGGCAGAAGCAGTGAAGGGGGGAGAGGCAGTGAGGGGGGAGAGGCAGTGAGGGGGGAGAGGCAGTGAGGGGGGGAGAGGCAGTGAGGGAGGGATGGGAGGCATTGAGGGGGAGAGGCAGTGAGAAGGAGAGGCAGTGAGGGGGGGGGGGAGAGGCAGTGAGGGGGGAGAGGCAGTGAGGGGGGGAGAGGCAGTGAGAAGGAGAGGCAGTGAGGGGGGGGAGAGGCAGTGAGGGGGGGAGAGGCAGTGAGGGGGGGGAGAGGCAGTGAGGGGGAAGAGGCAGTGAGGGGGAAGAGGCAGTGAGGGGGGGAGAGGTAGTGAGGGGGAGAGAGGCAGTGAGGGGGGGGAAAAGGCAGTGAGGGGGAGAAGAGGCAGTGAGGGGGGAAGAGGCAGTGAGGGGGAG